ACAAGGCCCTGGGACCAATTCCTAACAGATTGGTGAGTACTACCCCGTAACTTGCTTTTCACTTCCCTGAACTGCATACAATTGTCATCTCACTTCTTCCATAACTGTTTAATGTTCCATTTGGTGATATTACCCAAACATATCCTACAGCGGCACATATGCGTATACACCGCACAGCAAAATTACTGGGGTCAAGCCTACATTTTTTTCCCCTCAAGACAGGGTTTCTCTGTGTAGCTTTGGAGCCTATCCTAGCACTCCTCTATAGACCAGGCTGGCTTCAAACTCATAGATTAAAAGTGTGTGCCACCAATGCCCGGCAAACCTACATATTTGAAGCTAATAGATTCCACCAGTTGTCCTCCAGGAATCCTCATGGAATACACACTGTATGAGAATGCACACTGACAGCTTTCTTGGTGTTGAAGAATGTGAGCTCCTACACTAGTAGCATTCTTTTAGAAATGACCACCACACTGAGTGACCTTACTCAAGCCAGTGCTGAGGAGTAGTCTTGATATGCACTTCCCGATGACTATAGGTGGGGAACATTTCTTTAAGGGTTTCTCAGCCCTTTGTGTTTCCTCTTCTGAGAACTCTTTAATTCTGTGCCACATTTTTAATTGGGTTATTTGTTTTCTTGATGCCCACATTTTTAAGTTCTTTATATATTTGAGATATTAGCCCTCTATCAGATGGCTAATTGGTTAAAAAAAAAATCTATTCTGTAGATTACACATAACACCTTGTCAGAATGATGGTGTCCTTTGCCATACAGAAGCATCTCAGTTTCATGAGGATTTATTAATTGCTGTAAGACGCTTCTTACGTTGAATTATGTATGCAAGGTGGTGGTATTCTGTGAACTTTGTTAGCTACATGTACACCACATAGCACGTGTGCATTGGGGTCAAGTACTAAATGACAAGCTTCTCTATTTCTCTCAACAATTATGAGTTCATACTGGAATGTTTGGCTTAAAGCCCTGGCCCTACCATGTGCTAGCTGTAGCAACTTTAGGTAAGCTGTAACTTCTCTCGTCACTGACAACAAAAAAAGTCCTCCCTCACTGAGCCTGGGCTTAATCCCCAGCAGAAGGGTAACAAATACATGGAAAAAAATTACATGTGAACAGATTTTGAGAACCACATATACCACAATGGTAGTTGAACTTTGTTCACAAAGTGAAGTAGATTAGCTTCCTTGGAGTTCTATAAAATCTTCAACATAATAACCTGAAATACATTTGAAGCTATATTTAATATGGTATAGCATGTTCTACTTTACAAAAGTAGTGGAAAGGTTTTTCTAATGAGTGGAAAAAGATGCTTTAAAGCCTTAGACAACTGCAGTACCAATCTAGAGTTTTAGAACATCATCTGTGGAGAAGAGCTCAGCAGACAACCTGCTTTGGCAGCAAGCAGGGCCTGCTGTGATATAGTGCACACTAGACTGTAACATCTGGGCACTGTACCCTCAAGAGCTCTGGTGAGGTCTTTTATACCATCGGTTCCCTTAACCCAAAGTCAGTAAGGACATTGGCAATGCAGGAAAGATGCAACCTGCTTAGACCAACACTAATGAAACTTAGATTTGGATATTAGTTGACAAAATTAAGTGCTCGATGGCAATAAAAGGCTTCCACTCCAAGTTGTCACACAGCAATATGCTTAAAGACATTTACCCTAACCTCGCCCAACAGCTCAATGCAGGGACCAAGGTTGCTTTTATCAGTGGCTTCACACAAACAGGAAGGTGGTACTGTTCTTGCCCCTAGGCTTGGGAATGGACAAAAATGAAGATGAGGTACCTTCACTGCCCTTAGTCCCCCAGTCCAGAGCAGCACTTCCTCTGAAATTCTAGAGTTAAGAACTTCATTCATATACTCAACCACGAGGAGGCAGGCTAAATACAGTCATAGTATCCATTCAACTACTATGGAAAAGTGGAAGAATATATGCTGGTAACTTTAGCTGTTGGCTCACTATCACCCCATACTGTTTTTGTGTCCCCCCTCTTCCCCCCCCCCCGTGTTTACTGAATAGGATAATATGAGGGCTGCTCTCAAGAGCTGGCAAGAAGGGCATGAAAAATATGCACTATATGTAGCCCAACCTTGGTCTGGCAAGCAGAATGTGGCCATTGGTCTCAGCAGCTCCAGCTCTGAGAACAACTGGGTGGCTGGCTGTCTATAACTCGGACTGCCACCCACCACAAATCCTTCAGAGATGAAAGATCAGCAATCCCCAAAATGGAAGCCAAAGGGCTGTCAGAACCTACCTTAGAGGTTACAGTGTTACAGCAAAACCTGGAATGAAACTGACACCAGCATTGATTCTGGCATTCAAGCAAAGTTCTTCTTCAAGGGTATATGGCTTGCAGCTCATAGAGGTTCAGGATCTGTTAACTGGCTTGGGACTAGAAAGTGGTTGAAGGCTATGAGACGTCAACATACTTTCGCAGTAACACTACTCACATAATTTCAGATTTCTTAAGCAAAGCAACAAGCTCGATGCAACATCCTTCACATTCTGCTCTAACCTACCTTCTTCCTGCACAGAGGAGATGTGTTTACTCTTCAATTATATCTGTAGTTGGAGGGCTGGAGATGTGGCTTGGTGGTTAAGAATATTCAGGACCAGAGTTTGGATCCCAGGACCCACAATGAGACAGTTACAAATGTGTTAACTAGCTCCAGAGGATCTGACACAATTCTGGGACTCTGTGAAAAAACACACACACACACACACACACACACACACACACACACACACACACCTTATAAAAAACAAAACAAAACAAAACCTCTGTAGTTGGGACAGACCCCTGTTGATTAACAACAAGAAAAGATAAGCAAGTATATTAACATGTGCTCAGGAGAAAAAACGCAACTCAAAGCAGTTGGGAAGGGTTATACCTTAAGTATCATCCTTTCAACTAAGAATACACTGCCGAGAAATGCTGAAAGAAAATCAACCCTGGGCTGGAGAGATGGCTCAGAAGGTAAGAGTACTGCTCTTCCAGAGGTTGAGTTCAATTCCCAGCAACCACATGGTAGCTCACAACCATCTATAATGAGATCTGGTGCCCTCTTCTGGCATGCAGACATACATGCAGGCAGAACACTTTGTACAGAATAAATAAATATTTAAAAAAAGAAAAAAGCAATCCCAAACATGAGAAATTGAAAATAACTTGTATGAAGACATACCACAGATATGGAAAAAAGCTGATGGCTAGGGAGGTCACAGGCCCTAGTGGGAATCTATAGTTACTACAAAATGAGCATGATATTCTCATCAAATCACCTTCTAAATGATATGTAAATGCCCACAGATTGGTGCCAGGTTTGATCACAGAGGCTTCTTTGCAGTGGGTAGCAGCTACTCAATAAGTCATGAGATCACCCTGAGCAAAATTCAGAGAATATCACAGAATAGAGATCAGAAAGAATGGGATGGAGTATTCTGACAGCAGATCTGACTACATGTACTGACCCTTATCATGGGGTGGGGAGGGGCTCATGAGGGTCTATGAAGATTAATAGGGAGGTTAATGGCTTCAGGGATTTTTCCTTACTGGTATTGCCATTAGTAAAAGTGTGTATGCTCCTATATATAAATTCTCATCCAGGATTCTGTAAGAAATCCTAATGGATATTCATTGCCTCCTGCCCCCACACCACCCCCCAAAAAAGGAAAGACTAGTTGAGAAGGGATCAGCAAAAGTAGAACAATAGGGAGTAATAGGAGATAAATATGAGTAATATATCATATATACATACATACATACATACATACATACATATGAGAAAAATAATGAAACTTACTATGTACAATTAATACAAGCTAATCTATGTAAAGAAAGTCTGCTGCAGCAGATATCTTCCAATCTTTAGACAAGCAGAGTAGGGAAAGGGTGGAGAGGAACAGACCTTTCCTGTTCTTGGTGGGCCAGGGTCACCACTTTATCCAGAGATTTGGAAAATGGTTTAACAGGTGCACATGACCTAACGCCCTCAGCAGGGGAGATTTTCAAGGTCTCCCCATCACCGTCAGTTTTTTTTGCCCCCTGTGCTTGCACACACAGCCAGACTTTGACATTCTGTCTTCAGCTCGTTTCCTCTACTCTTCATTGTGTATGAAGTCACTCATCACCCACCATAAATTTCACAGGACTGAGACACACCTAGAGGGTTATTCTAAAAAGCACATTTCTGGATTTCTATGAAACATTAAGGGGGAAGACACTTAGGGGGAAGAGGCTCAGGAAGAAGGAAGAGGCCCACAAGTGTAGACATCCCACATCCATACCCCATGCTTCCTGGTTGCCACAGGGTGAGCAACTTGCTCTGCTCCAAGTTCCCAACAAACCCACCGTAAAGTCATGCCTTACCACAGATCTAGAAACAGTGACACCCAGTGACATTGGACTCACACACTTGAAACCATGATATAAAATAAACCAACCCCCCCCCTTTCTGTCAGGTACTTGTCACAGCAGTGAAAACTGATTACGGCCACACAGGGGCATACCAACCTTTCACTATTGCATTCCCTTTCTCTGAATTTCTGATACTTTTCAGTCTGAATAAATTCTATTTCTGTAAGACACTAGAGTCATGTGTCACTCAAAGGTGAAGACACCTTTAAGTTGGCAACATCCCCAGCTGTGCTCAGAACAAGAGTGACAAAAATAGCAAGGTTCTTGCTCTGCAGAGTGACAGCTCTGATGAAGGACTTTCAATCTTGCAGTTCTTTGAAAATCAGATTCACAATCACCTAGTTCCCATGCATTACTATGCCAGGCACTATCAGGACTGCTCCAATGCTTTGATGAAAGCTCCGTAAACTCATCGAAGTTCATTGTGCCTCAGTTTTCCTCTTCTAGCCAGCTGTTGAAGGGTGAACTGAATAGTAAAGTTACCATGTAGGCAGAGAGTACCAAAGTTTACTCTCTAGTCATAATATGCACCGGAAAAATGAGAGAAGACAAGTTAATTATTTAGTATTGGTTGCTTTATTTTGCATTTTTAAAGTTTACAAAACCTTTACAGTATCTGCCTCCCCCATGTTGATCATCAAGGCTTTACAGTAAGACAATGAAAATGGTATCACGCAAATTAGGCATACTCAAAAACAATGGATAATTTACAAACATCTGTCTAATCAAAAACATTTTACAAAATGTTTTTACAAAATATCCTAGTACACATATGAATGTATGTGCCTTAGACTTTAAAGGCATTTTAAAAAACAAAAATAAACAAAGCATTTAACACTGACAAGTCTACAGAATAATGCTGACGGCCAGCTAGAAATAGCTTCAAATGCTGAATGTAATCTGAGGGAAGGAGATTATTGGTTGGACCTACATTTAGTACTATTAGTAAGATTCTGTTTTTATGAATTTCTACCGAATGAACAATTCATTGCCTTGGTAGCTTCTCAAATTTTATAGTTATGCTTGCTGACAACTTGATTAAAAGAGCTGGAAACTAGTGGTAGGGAAAAAGGAAAACTAGCATCAGTACTTTCTGTCTTTCTCAAGGAACCAGCAGTTCAGTTACTGCATCCACTGAGGAGGCATATGTTTATAAAAGGTATGTACAGAATCTCAATGCCAAAAATAGCTCCAAGTGTTCCCACTTAGGAAATGTGAAAAAAAAATAAATGTCCTCAATTAGAGTTTAATTTTCAAAATGGCATAATATATAACATCACAATCCATTGCAGGGCTCATTAAAATTATTCATACTGCTATTTCTACATTTAATATAATCTGTATGTACTTTGGGGGAATCTGTGTAGACAGCATCAGTGGAGGCCACAATGGAGTATGGTGGCTCACACCTGAAACTCGGAGAAATCAGGGAAGATGAAGCAGGAAAAACAAAAGTTAAAGGCCAGGGTAGGAAAGTTTGAAGCCAGCCCAGGATACACAGTAAGACCCTATCTCAAATAAAAAAGGTAAAAGAACAGAAATGAATGAAAATGGGAAAAAAAAAAAAAAAAAAAAGATACTGAGCATGGTGGCACATGTGCTTAATGCTGGTCTATATAGAGATATTCAGGCTAGCCAGGGCTACACTATAAAATCCTGACTCAAAACAAACAAACAAAAAAAAGTAGATAATGAAATAGGGCAGTAATTAAAATCATGATTTTTTTTTTTTAAAGGTACCTAATGTCACAAATTATGTGTTTTGGCTCAGTGCATTGCTGGAAAGGACCAGGAAATGAGTGGGATGTCGTTACTGCCTCTTCACTTATTCACTGGCTCACTCACAAGGTGAGCGGAGCTGTGCTGGCCTTGCTGTTTTCTGCCTTGTTTCTATGATAATACTTGTGAAGAGGGAGATTCTCTCAGTCTACAGAATTGAGATCATGGAAACTAGCAGAGAAATCCGTTGTTTAATCGAAAGTACAAGCTCCTTGTCAGGTTCCTCTTTGATAAAGAACGAGCCTAAACAAAACTTCAGGTTCTTGAATAGTCTAATTTTTTAGTAGTCACCAGAAGAGTTTCTGAGAAATAACTTAAAACAAATCTCAGATTACCCCTCCTATCAGTCTTATCTATCATGTTGTTCAGAGAGAGCAGTCAGGACTTTCACCTCATAGGAGAGACCCACGAAGTTCGCTGACTTGAGAAGGTTTTGTTCTAATGTGTCCTTTAGAGATTTAAGTGCTTCTTTGTAATGCTAAATAAGAATTATTCTCAAAGTAAATATTGTAAGATAGCAAAGTTCTAATTTCATTAACACAGCTTATTTTGATGTCACCAAAAGTTACAAAGCTGAAGATAAAGCAAGCAGCAATCATACTCAACACAAAATGCTAATAGTGCCATGAGATGCAACCTGGAATGATCTCTAACTACAAATTATACTCTTGAGACCAACACACCATGGAAGACTATTGAACATGAAAACTGCTCTCCAGAACTGGTTTTTCAAACACTAAAAAATTAATTGAACATTATTTTGGGGGAAGGAGGAGGTGTATGAAGATCGATTAGAATATTCTACACACAGGGAAACCATTCTAATTGAGATACTTTAAAAGCTATTGCAGATGTTTATTTGATACTAGAAATGTGGTCAGCTATCATAAAGTATTTCTCTTCATCACAAAATAGTAAGGATTTAAACAATCCAAGGCGAAAAAATCTAGAAGCTTTAAAAATTTTTTTTGACCTGGGCACTAATTCTTCTAAAAAGGGTCTCCAAAATCTTGAGTAGAATTATCATACTCAGTAATGAAATGTTTGAGTTCTTCAACACATCGCTCACCTATTTCGTGTAAATTCTGCCTCAATGCAAACTGTATAGATTTTTCTAATGAAGGGTCTTTTTCAATCAGCATCTTCACCACCATCCCGAAAGTTTCACAGTCTTGTCGGTAAACCTAGAATGGTGAAATATATTTTGGTTAGTATTTCATTAATTAATTACTTATTCAAATACTTGGCTGAGTGATCGGCAGAAGTCTAAGATGCTGAAATCTAGAAAGGAGACATAGTAACTTGGCTGAACCTCCACAATACAGACACAACCACTGCTGGAATCTGTCTTGGATATCTATCTGTTCACAAAAGATTAAGGACAGACACCCATCACTTAGAGTAGAAGCATAAAAGGCATCTGGAGCAATGCAGCCTATCTACAGGGTGTTGGACCAGAGGATAAAGGAGGTAAGAACAAAAGCAAGGCAAACAAATCACTCACCCATTTGTTACGAAGGAAAAGGCTAGACAGAAGTGGTGGCCACACCTTTAATCCCAGCAGATGCAGAGGAATCTCTGAGTTGGAGGCCAGTCAGGTTTACATAGCAAATTCCAGGTCAGCCAGGCTATATATAGTGATACCCTTTCTCAGAAAAGGAGGAAAGGGGGAGGGGGAGGTTGAGAGGAAGAAAGGAAAGGGAGGGAGGGAGGGAGGGAGAAAGGAAGGAAGGAAGGAAGGAAGGAAGGAAGGAAGGAAGGAAGGAAGGAAGGAAGGAAGGAAGGAAGGAAGGACCAAGGCTGCCAAGCCTCTGACTTCTAAGTGCTGGCATTAAAAGTGTGCACTACCACCGCCTGGCTACACTTTATTTTTCTAATGTACAATAACTTATCACCACTCTTCAAAAACTGATTTTATTCATTGAGAAATCATAGATTAGAAATGCAGATCAGCTTTACCACAGGGTTTTTTTTTTTTTTTTTTTTAAGTGAATATGTATACACACTGAGTGTGGAAGTGAAAGGACCACCTTTACAGAACTGAACTCAGGGCATCAGGCTGTGAGGCCAGCACCTCTACCCACTGAGCCACTGTGCCAGCTGGTCACTACTAGTTTGTGGGGGCCATGGTTGTGAAATCTCTGGAATATATTTTGATTGCTTACAAACAGCTATTTAAGGATTCATGTTGAATTTCGTTGCTAAATTATACTAAATGCATTACCATTATATTGAAATTAATTCACAAAAGATGTGGTAGTAGGACCATGCTATTAGGTTTAGGCCAACTGAGGATTCAGAAAAGCAAAGTCAGTCACAAGCCACAGAAGCCAGGCATAAACCTTACATCCCAGCAGCCAGAAACTAGGAGGTGGTGGTACACACCTTTAATCCTAAAACTCAAGATCAAGAGTAAGTGAATTTCTTTGAGTCCAAGGCCACCCAGATCTACACAAGAGTGAATCAGTCTAAAAGAGAATTATAGCTCACACCTTTAGTCCCAACATTATTAGGGAAATGTATAAAACAGAAGCAAGGTCTCAGAGAGGCATTCATTCTCCACCCACACTGAAGATAGGAGCCTTCATTCTCCAGCCATGCTGAGGTGGTTACAGTTTGAGGCTTGGTGAAGAGTTCATGATCAGCCCTTTCAGCCTCAGCTTGAGGTAAGAGCTAGTGGCCAGCTGTTTTGCTTTTCTGATAATCTGCTTTAAGTTTTGAACCCTAATATCGATCTTTAGATCATTTATTATTTCATGTCACAAACCTGAGTTACATTATAGGTTTAGCAGAGACACATAGTAAAACCTGTATGACAAAAACAAAAATCCTTAGTCATCATGGAAATGCAAATCAAAACAACTTTGAGACACCATCTTACTCCTGTCAGAATGGCTAAAATCGAAAATACCAATGACAGTTTATGCTGGAGATGATGTGGAGGAACAGTAACAA